GTTTACTATGGATGTATTTTTGAGCTGACGAAAGTCTTTCAGGGCAATTTCGCCATCTTTAGTGGAAAAACTACCTTTCCGAATGCATTTCTCTTATATCAGTCCTTTGTTGCAAGCTACCTTATGGACTTAATTTTCCATAGTTCTTTTCGGGTCTGAAAGTCAACTTCTAGTTCTCATTTACCGGTCTTACTTTCCTATTGAAAAGTCAAGTTTCTGCTTTCAGCACAGATTTGAACTAAGTGTTTTATGTTTTCAACTACAAGAGTCTGGGAGATTTCTGCTGTCTTTTACTGGGCTTGCTTTCAAAGTTTTCACCCAGGAATTTGAACCAATCGTTTTATGTTTTCAATTACGGGACAATGGGAAATTTCTGTTGTCTCCTCAGATGGCTTTAACAAGTGTCTCTCCTTCATCAGACACTGGCCCCAAATCAGAATCACACCTATCTTGTTAGTGTGCATTTGAGGTGGGCATTTCTGATAGCAACGTTTCTTTAGGGCTTGTGTTTGCCTTAGCCAGTCAGTGAAAAGCATTTACAACAGAGCTTTTCCATAGCTCATTCAGAGAGATTTTCTCCCACTGAGATCTTTATTTCATTTTGCTTGTTCCTTCCCCGCCAGATGCAGAGCTTCAGATATCTCAGGCTGCAGCTTTGTTCCTCTGCTAGCTGCCTCTGGAGGTAGGGGCTTCTTTCCCCCCGAATCTGCCTCAAAACTCTAGCAGCTTTCTGGAGAGGAATCTGTCCCTCTCTGATTCTTCTGAGAGTCTTTCTCCCTGACAGTTTCCAGTTTGGTCTCAACTGCCCCAGAAATAGTTCCCAATGCCGCAGTGACAGCTTTTCTGCTTCTGAAGGTGGGGGGGCTTTAGTCCATCTCTATTTTCAGGGTCTGTGTGGTTTGCATACAAACTGAAAAATCAAGCTTCTGCTTTTCTAACAAGGGAAGTTTTTGTCATCTCTAAGTTTGTATTAGGACAGGTGTACTTCCCTCATCAGGCCTTCACCTGGCCCAGTTCCCCAGTGGGTTGCATTTGCTTGTCTGTGCACTCAAGAACAGAGCTTATGCCAGAGGCAGTCACCCCTTAGGCCTTACACTCTTTTATCTCACCTGGAGTCAGCTGAAAACAAAGCTTTTCTCAGAAAGATGCTTTCTCTGATAGAAAAAGAGCTTTACTCCTTGTTAGTTCTTAGTTCTGCCCTGGCTGGGCTCTTTCCCCAGACAGTGTTCCTGACTGATAGGAAAGCTTTTCTCAGACTTCTTTTTGCAGCTGTGGATACTGCAATGGCCTCACCTAACAACCCAGGACTTGGAGAAAAGTGGGTTACTGTGCTGTTCCCACCAGCTTTAGCTTCGTTTGTTCATTAGCAGTTTTCCCCTGGGTCCTGCACCTTCCTGCCTCAGCTCTGCGCTCCAGGAAGTTGCTCACAACTGCAGGAACCTAGTATCCCCAGCATGCACTCAAACTCGGAGGTACTGGCTAGTTGCTTCTTAGTTGTTGGTTAGAAGCTAGGATACAATGCTTCACAGAGTTTGCATTGCTTCAGGGGGATCTTTGCATTAGGACAATTACGAGCACCTTTTCATTCTGAAAAGCTCACTCAGAAACAAAACCCTTGATGCCTCAGCTCAGCTGTAACTGAAAAGCTGGGCTTTTTTTGCTTTTTCCCCAGTAAACAGTTTCCTGCCCTATTGGGCTCTCTGTGGCTCTTTACCCATACTCTACCAAGTGTTTCCCTCAGGGTATTCTGAACCTCTCTCTGCCTTTTACTAGCTTGAAGAGACAGAGCTAGGAAGAGGTTTTTAGGAACTCCATCCCTGCCTCGTGCATTGCAGGGAGGATTTTTTTTTTTTTTTTTTTTTTTTTTTGGTTTTTTCGAGACAGGGTTTCTCTGTGTAGCTTTGCGCCTTTCCTGGGACTCACGTGGTAGCCCAGGCTGGCCTCGAACTCACAGAGATCCGCCTGCCTCTGCCTCCCGAGTGCTGGGATTAAAGGCGTGCGCCACCACCCGACCCGGCGCAGGGAGGATTTTTTAAAGCTTGAAAGAAAGAGCTTAGAGAGGTTTTGCTGTTTTAAGAGGTTTGTTGTTTTCCCCTTAGAGCTAATCACAGGTGATTCCCATTCTAATATCTTCAGGTGGTTCTAAATTTTGTCCTTTTGAGAAAGTTAAAGGCTTTAACTTTTTAAGTTTTTTAAGAGAGTTTTTAGTTTGAGAAAGAAAGATAAAGGCTTTTTAAAGAGATTCCCCTCCCCCCCAATTTTCTAAGAAAAGCTTTTTTAGTTTAAGAAAAAGATTTTTTTTTCCCAAGAGAAAGACCAACTTTTCCTAAAACTTCTGAACTTTAAACTTTTTGGTTTCTTACACCCATATTTTTGCTCAGGGAGAAATCTCTTTCTCCTGCTGCTTGGACTTAGCATTTCAGCTGTCCCTAGGCCAAAAGCTTCCATAGGAAACTTTTTTCTGCCCCATAAGCTCAAAGAAGAGCTTTTTTACTACCCGTAAAGCTCAAAGAAAGATTTTTTTTTCCAGTTTGCGTTCATAGCCCCCAAAGTTAGAAAACTGAAGTTTTTCTATCTTCTTGCCTTACTTATCTTAAATAAATTTTTTCTACACGATCTTACACGTCTAAGTTTTCCTATAGTATATTACTACACTATACCTTATACTTATTTTTTACAGATAGAAATTAAGAAAGAGATAGAAGATAGAAACCTTGATAGAGGAGATTTTTGTGCCACAGCATCGGACATCCTTCCAATTCCATTTTTTCCTTTTCTCTGAAGGATAAAACCCCATGCCCTTATATATATTCCATTACAACACTGGACTTGTCCCTTTTCCACTGGCTGACCTGACTTGCACTTTTGCCAAAAACTCTGTAATAAAACTATATATTACTATTATTTTCCTTTGTCTTTAGTCCCTATTCATTTGTCATTAGTAACCCCCCCTTTTTTTTAAGTCCCTGTTCAGGCGCCATTCTGTGAGGCATTTACCCACCAACCCCACAGTTCCCCAGAGTTTTCTTGAGTGCAAGCAGCGGAAATACTAGATAAAAGGATTTAGATTGTGGAGATAAACAGAAAATACAGGATAGCCTTGAGAGGGCCTGAAACCTATTCCAATGAGGGTTAACTGTGTCTGCCCTAAAATATTTATAGAAACACCCCCCCCCCCCCACCCAGCACAGCCAAGTGCAGACCATCTCAGACACCTGCACTCAGGCCCATGGTCCAATCATCCTCTCTTTGCAGACCAGCTGGGTAAAGCCATGAACCTGTAAATGGGCTCCCACAGACCATGCAGTCTTTTTTCTTATGCCTCTGTCTAATGATATATGATCAGGTCTTATGATGAAAGTAATACTCTTTCTTAGGGACAGTTTTGATATTTGTGATGTGACTGTTTCCATGTCTTTTGTGGAAAATATCAGTATTTATTTATGGGAATGCATCAATTCTGCTGGTTGCTGTTAGTGATATAACCATGTGCAGGTTGATTTTATGTCAACTTGTCACAAGTTATCAGAGAAAAGCCTCCATAAACCTGGTTGTAGGATATTTTTTTGAGTATTGATTAATTGGTGAGGGCCTAACCCATTGTGGGGTAGTGGGCTAGTGGTCCTGGATTTTGTAAGAAAGCAGACTGAGCAAGCTATGGCGAGCAAGGCAGTAAGCAGGACTTCTCCATGGCTTCTGCATCAGCCCTTGCCTCCAGGTTACTGTCTCTTTTGAGTTCCTATCCTGGCTTCCTTCAGTGATGAACAGTGATATGGAAGTGTGGCCCAAATTAACTCTCTCCTCTCCAAATTGGTTTTTGGTCACCACAGTAAAAACCCTATCACAACCCATATACATGATTTCATTCATCAGTCAGTGTCCAAGGAAGTCCATTTCTTTGTTTAATATTATTTTTCTTCCTAGATGCCTTATAAATTTCTTCATAGAAGTGAATTCATCATTACTTAGCATTATTCGTAGATAGTTTGGAAGCAACATGAGTTTCTTAAATTTCTAAATTATTTTTCAAATTGTTATCATTATTAGAGAAAATGTAGTGATTTTTTATACTTTTATACTTTTCAATAATACATGAAGCACCTAGCGAATTTAAGATTTTCCTGTGGTGTCTGGCAATCTTTTTTCTGTGATTACATCATCATAAAAGCCTTTTACTCATTATCATTAATTAAATTAATCATTTAATCATCATCATTAAAAAGCCATTCCTACCTGTTTCCTCTTAATTCTTTTTTCTTATTCAAATTTCTGTGGTTACCTCTTATGGCTCTGAATTAAATAAGACAGGAGAGCACATGCATCATTTTCTTTTTATAGTTTTCCTGCTAATGATGTTCACTTTTTCTCTGCACTGTACTGTTGGCCTTAGTCTAACATGTGTTCCATTTCTTTCTGTTTCCTTCAGTTTATCGCATAATCTATTGACATTTGTCTTATGACATCTCCATTTTTACTGGGATTTTCATATCACAGGGCTTTTAATTTATGATTTTCTTAATCTGGTGAGTAAAATTAGGGGTACTAATTTACTTCCTTCTACCTAGAAATGGTAGTTTGCCAGATTTGGCTGTTGGACAGTCTGGTTTCCTCGATTCATCTATTCCTTATGTAAAATTCTTGATTTCTTGTGTTCTCATGGATAAATTTCTCTGATTTTTCTATATGTACTTATCCTCTAATTATGATTTGCAGTGCTGCTTGAGGGGATGACCTTTGTTATTTTATAACCTTCTTCATATGCTCTTCTTTCTCCATGCATTTTTAGAGCCCATATTTCTGAGTGTGATAATAAGGTTCATCATCATTTTCTTTCCCCACTTTAAATACATTTTTCCATGCTCTCCTGTCTGTAGGAATGTTGACAAGATTTTTGTTATCATATTGCTTTTCTGCATCTTTTTATATGGTTTTGCATTGTCCATAGTAGAATTGTATTAATTCTCGCTTTATATTTTTGGCTTCTTGATGTGAAATTTCAGCAAGAATTCCGGTCTTTTTTCCTGTCACAGAAACGCTGAGAAGAACAATAAGAAGAATGAATTCTTCTCTGGTAAATTCTCCCCAGGTCAGTGGCATATCTACAATTGTTTTAAAATTGTTTTTATTATTGAAACCATTCAAGATGTTAATTTTCTGCCTCTGGCAATGTTACTGAAAGTGCTTATTTTGTGTTATTTTTTTTTCCTTCTCTGACTCTCAAGATTAAGTCCTTAAATCTTTCACCTATATAGCAGAGACTTGTCTCATTACATTTTCACTCAATTTTATACTGTGAGGACATGAATTTCCATGGATTTAAGACTTGCAGTCTTAAGTCTGAGACACAGTCTTATTATAAATGATGCTCAACAAAATCTATTGATGACTGTTTTCTGTGTATGACGGACTTGTGTCCTTTTAGTGAGGAAAAAGGTGTCATGTGCCACATACTTTGAATTTCTGGAATGGTCTTCTTTTCAGAAACTGGCTTATGAACATGGGCATGCAAATATATAGTCATTTTCACTGACATCACTGAGCAATTTATGGAAAAGTAGAATTAGCAGAGACTCACTGTTGAAACCTAATAATAAATATTTCATCATGTGTGGCTTGCTCTTGCCCCATCATTGATGGGTGTGTTGGAAAATGAGGATTGCAGGGTTCTGAGTTCTCTCTCTCTCTCTCTCTCTCTCTCTCTCTCTCTCTCTTTTTTTCTTTTTCGAGACAGGGTTTCTCTGTGTAGCTTTGCGCCTTTCCTGGAACTCACTCTGTAGTCCAGGCTGGCCTCAAACTCACAGAGATCTGCCTGGCTCTGCCTCCTGAATGCTGGGATTAAAGGTGTGCACCACCATTATCTGGCTCTTTTTGCTGTTTTATGTCACACAATGATGATGGGTGTGTTGACATCTGAAATCTATTTGTCTCAGGAAAGGTTCTGTTCAATGCTCAGTGCTGAGTTCCCAGTAGACAGATGATTATTTTCTTTCTCTATTGCTTTATTTTTCAGAATTGCATAAGCACTGCTATCTCCACATTTGTATTACAACATGTGGAATATATTAGTAAGAATTTCCTAGAGAGTATTGACTTGATACTGCACATAAGCTATCAGTTTTCAAGCATAAACAAATATCTGTCTTAATGAATTTACTCTCTTCTTTTCTGTTGGAAGAAGGCGGCTCCCTCTAACCTATGTTTCTCGTCTTGCTGAAGCTTTCTTTGTATTGCATAGGGAGAGGAGTGGGAGCGATGTTTGTATTTCTTTCTGAAGAATGTTATTTAAGTATGTAAGTGTTCTTCTGCCTATTTTTATATACACTGCATTAGATACTATGCTCCTGGGTCCCCAAGATCAGCACCAAACCCTTGGCACTGAAGTCAGGCACTGTAGTGAGCTGCCATGTGTGTAGAGAGAATGAAATTAGGTTTCTGTGCAAGAACAGCAAGTTTCTTTTTTACTTCTGAGCCATTTCTCCAGGCCTCAGATTTGCATTTCTGGTGCACATTTGTGACAAAGTCAGTGTATAACCTTGTATATTCTAGTTTTTGAAAAATGAAGGAATAACCATAAATTATACACATCTATGCAGCCTAAAATCCTGTTAGTTGAATGAGCTCAAATACTGAAGAAAAGAACAAAGTTGAAATTAGAAGTTTTACGTTTTTTGGCTGAGTAGTAGTGGCGCACGCCTTTAATCCCAGCACTCAGTAGGTAGAGGCAGAGAGATCTTTGTGAGTTTTAGGTCAGCCTAGTCTACAGATCAAGTTCCAGGACAATGAAGGCTACACAGAGAAACTCTGTCTTGAACAGCTTAAAAAACAAAGAAATTTCACATTTTCAGTTGAGTCAATCACATGAGAAATTAGGTATTCAAAATTAATAGGAGTTAGTATGAGTATCACTCAATTTAATATATTTTTTTGATAACGGAAAATGTTTCTACTTCATCTGAATGCATCGTCACATATGCCATTTATTTACACACATATTTCTAATTATTTGGTAGGAAAACACCATATGGAATTCATGCAGTTGTCATTATTATTATTATTGCTTGTTTCAACTTTTAGAAAGGATCAAATACGATTAATGCTGTGTAATTCTGCTTTTTCTCTTTTCTTCATGGTTATGGAAATACTCTCCTAAAATTACTTCACAAAGTATTTGATTCTGTTATTGTTTGGAACATTGGATACATGCAGTGATGTTACACTTCTTACCTTTTAAAGAAAGTTCTCTCTTTTAATTCATCTGTGAATTCTGCATTCTGTTTTCTACCTCTTTTTTCTAGAAAGGGTGCTCTATTGTAGCTATGCCTCCTGATCTGAACTGAGCATTTTAGAATACAGTCTGGTAGAGCTCTAGCCAGCAATGATCTTGTGTCCATATTTGAGCAACACTGGTAGCAGTAAGCTGTAGAAGTTGAAAACACAGTTTTGCTCATCATAACTTTACCAACTGAGGTGTGACACTGGGATCCTGTTTGATATTACTGAATGTAGACCTCAAATGTGTATGTTATATTCCCTAAAAGTTTGCTGATTACAAGACTATTCATTCTTTTTTTTCATATGCAAACTATGCAATAAACGCTATGACTAATTTAGAAAGTATTTTTTATTAAAATTAATAAGTTATTAAATTATTATTGTTAAATTAAAATTATTAATTAAAATTAGTTTAGTTTTGTGCATGTCAGTATATTCACCTAAATGTCTGAGTGTGCGCTATGTATGCTTCCTGCTTGTAAGGTTCTTAAAATATGTTGTGTAGGGCCATGAGGATTTTTGGAAACCGAACTAAATTTTAAAGGACTTAGACATTACAGAATCCAAACTGGAGACCAAAGTTTCAAATGTAGTTATTGTGGCCAGTCCTTTACCTGCTGCTCAGGTCTTAGAAAACATGAGAAAATTCATGAAGAAGGAAGACCTTATGAATGTAAGCAGCGTAGTAAGTCATCCTATCCATTGTTTATGGAAGAGCAGCAATGCTTAATTCTGACACATTTCTACAGAAATTCTAGAAAATTTTGTCCATGCCTCATCTGTTTCACAAAAATATCTCTTATTTTTTAGGTCTCTTTTACTTAGGTAAGCATTTGGTCCAGCATCACATGGTAAAGTTATGATTTTCCATTACAGGGTCTGTTATCATTCAGGGATATAGCTGTGGACCTCTCACAGGAGGAATGGGAATGTCTAGACTGTGTTCAGCGGGAATTGTACATGAGTGTGATGTTGGAAAATTACAGCAATCTGATTTTTGTAGGTAAGAATGCTCTTTTTGTAGAATTATGTAGAGAATTTCAGAACTTAGGGGAGTTCTGGTTACCAAGAAAGCTTTTTCATCGTGCCTCTTTTTACATTTTTCTGTGATCTCTCCAGTCCTCCTATTTAGTTTTTAATGAAAACTTCAAAATTCAAAGAAGTTAAATATTCAAAGCAAGAAAATACATTTCAGTGTACTTTTAAAAAATTATTTATTTTTATTTTATGTGCATTGGTGTCTTGCCTAAGTGTGTGTCAGGTGTGAGAGTACCGGCTCCACTGGAACCAGAGTTACAGTTATGAGCTGCCATGTGGGTGCTTGGAATTAAACCCAGGTCCTCTGGAAGAGCAGCCAATGCTCTTAACCTCTGAGCCATCCCTTCAGCCCCCTGCAGTACACTTAATAATTAGAATATTTTTATTTCACTGTTGTATTAAACTATTAGCTTATCTCTTATTTTAAAAAACACAAAAGGCTTTAAATAGAGGAGGAGATGTTGGTTATAGGAACACTTTTTTTTGTAGTTTATTTTTTCACATGTGGTCTCTATGTTTTGTATTTGAACAGAATTTTAATTTTTGCATTTTGGAGGCTCAAGCAAGACTATATGGTGATATAAAGGCCAACCAGGGTTGCGCAATGAATTCCTCACTGCATGGTGTGAATGTCTGTCAAAAACTCAAAGAAGAAAGTAGAGAAACATTCTTATTTCGTTTTCCAGAAAGGGTTTCTCTGTGTAACAGGCCTGGCTGCCCTGGAACTCACTTTATCGACCAGGTTGGCTTTGAACTCAGAGATCCATGTGCATTTACCTTCTCATTCCTGAGATAATGAGCTTGTGCCACCACCACTTGGCAAGAAACATTCTTCATATAAGTAGATTGGAGACACTTATGACCATCTATTTAATGATTGTGAAACACAAAATGACTCTGCTGAGAGCTCTGTCCCTGAGAATTGGTAGTTTGCCTGTCTTAGAAAACATAAGAAAATATCAGTTACTGAATTTCTTACTCGAACATTAATCTCTATTATCCCTAATTGCACTTATTTTCCAGGGACCCATCGCATATGTGGTCAATATGAGTTTGTGGATCAAGGCACAAAGCATATTCTCCACAATTGTGAGAATATCCATGAGAAGTCTTATGTATGTAATAAGCTTGACAACCTGATTCATGAATCCTTTCAATGTAGACATTATGACACAAATGATACTGCAGAAAACTGCAACAAGTACAGATTTGGTCACTATGGAGATTCCTCTGTTGAAACAGTAAATGTAAACAGACATAAAAGTGGGAACACTGGAGAAGAACCTTGCAAATGTAAGGGCTGCGTAAACTGTTTAAATTTGTATGACATCTTTACCGAAAATCAAAGAAGCCACACAGGAAAGAAAGAACACAAAAATAAAGCTTACGATAGATCTTTTGACTCTAAACATAAAATGCTGAAACAAACCAATAGTGGAAAGGAATCACACCAAAGCAGGAAGTCTGGGAAATGCTCTAAGTTGGACTCAAGCCTCAGTAGACTTCAGAGAGATCACACTAGAGAGAAACCCTGTAAATGTACAAAATGTAGTAAATGCTTTCTGCATTTGTCCCACCTCAAAGTCCATTACAAGATCCATTCTGGAGAAAAACCCTACAAATCTCTTAAAACTCATCAGATAATTCATATAGGAGAGAAACCTTACAAATGCAGTGAATGTGACAAATCCTTTAGCTTTGTCTCAAAACTTGTAAGACATCAGAGAATCCATACAGGGGAGAAACCTTATAAATGTAGTGAATGTGTCAAATCCTTTACCCAGGAGGGCAGTCTTAGAACTCATCAGAGAATTCATACAGGAGAGAAACTTTACAAATGTAGTGATTGTGACAAATCTTATAGCACAAAATGGCATCTTATAAATCATCAGAGAATTCACACAGGAGAAAAACCTTATAAGTGTAGTGAATGCCACAAATCTTTTGCCCAGAAAGGTGCTCTTTTAACACATCAGAGAATTCATGCAGGACAGAAACCGTATCAATGTAGTGAATGTGAAAAATCCTTTAGCTTTGTCTCAAAACTTATCAGACATCAGAGAATCCATACAGGAGAGAAACCTTATAAATGTAGTGAATGTGACAAATCCTTTACCCAGAAAGGCAGTCTTAGAACTCATCAGAGAATTCATACAAGAGAGAAACTTTACAAATGTAGTGATTGTGACAAATCTTTTACCACAAAATGGCATCTTACAACTCATCAGAGAATTCACACAGGAGAGAAACCTTATAAATGTAGTGAATGCCACAAATCTTTTGCCCAGAAAGGTGCTCTTATAACACATCAGAGAATTCATGCAGGACTGAAACCTTACCAATGTAGTGAATGTGACAAATCTTTTTTCCACAAATGCTCTCTTATAAAACATGAGCGAATTCATACAGGAGAGAAACCTTACAAATGTAGTGAATGTGACAAATCTTTTCCCCAGAAATCCTATCTTAGAAAACACCAGGGAATTCATACAGGAGAGAAACCTTACAAATGTAGTGAATGTGGCAAATCTTTTGCCCAGAAGTGCTATCTTAGAATACATCAGGGAATTCATACAGGAGAGAAACCTTACAAGTGTAGTGAATGTGACAAATCGTTTTCCCACAAATGCTATCTTAGAATACATCAGGGAGTCCATACAGGAGAGAAACCTTACAAATGTAGTAAATGTGACAAATCCTTTACATGTTGCTCAAGTCTTATATATCATCATAGAATTCATACAGGAAAGAAACCCCATAAATGCAGTGAATGTGACAAATCCTTTACCAAGAAAAACCATCTTAGAACTCATCAGAGAATTCATACTGGAGAGAAACCTTACAAATGTAGTGAATGTGGCAGATCTTTTGCCCAGAAATACTATCTTAGAATACATCAGAGAATTCATACAGGAGAGAAACCTTACAAATGTAGTGAATGTGAGAAATCCTTTACCAAAAAAGCCTATGTTAGAATACATCAGAGAATTCATACAGGAGAGAAACCTTATAAATGTAGTGAATGTGACAAATGTTTTATCCAGAAATGCCATCTTAGAACTCATCAGAGCATTCATACAGAAGAGAAACCTTACAAATATAGTGAATGTGAAACATCGTTTACTGGTGGCTCAGATCTTAGAAAACATCAGAGAATTCATACAGGAGAAAAACCCTACAAATGTAGTGAATGTGACAAATCCTTCTCCCAGAAAGGCCATCTTATAACTCATCAGAGAATTCATACAGGAGAAAAACCCTATAAATGTAGTGAATGTGATAAATCTTTTACCAGGAAAGGCCATCTTATAAGGCATCAGAGAATCCATACAAGAGAGAAACTGTATAAATGTAGTGAATGTGACAAATCCTTTACCTGTGGCTCCAGTCTTGTAAACCATCAGAGAATTCATACAGAAGAGAAACTTTACAAATGTAATGTATGAGGAGAAGTGTTTACTTGCATCTCAGGAGTAAGAAAATATCTGAAAACTCATACTGGGGATAAAAGTTACCATTTGAAATAATGTGGCATGTGCTTTATTGAAGTTCTCTCCTTAGCAGCACTTAAGAATCCATACTAGAAAATAATGAACATGAGAAACTCGTTCAAATGTTTAAGTAATGTTCAAACCTTAAAACATGCCAGAGTTTATGCTGAAGGAAATTTTGATGTAACAATGTACAAAAAATTTTCATTAAAACTTTTTACTTGTTCAACCTCAAATACTTGATAATTAAAACAAAACAGAGGTCTAAAGGCTGTGCTGTTGTGTAGACGGAATGATCCAGTCTGAAGGGAAGCTGGTTAAGGCAGGAAATACACCACTCAAAAAAGCTTCAAGGAATCCCTGAAAATGAAAGGATTCAGGATGTTTAACTGCAATAAACTCACAAAATAATGCACCTTAGAAGAGGATTTGTCAAAGTGGGCCACCAAGATAGGTTGTTCTTTAATCTACGTATGCCTACAGGTGTGCAGTGTACTCCAGTATTCATAAGCTGTATCACATGCTCATTTCAAGTTTGAGGATAGTAACTATCTTTCTGTCCCATGTGCTTTGATAAACAACCTCCCCATATTCCTGTAACTCCAATAAAGCTCATTGGTTTCCAAAGTTGAATTTGCTTCTGTTTTCAGTTTCCAGGTGGGGTGAGTAGTTGGATATATGTTGCATCTCCCCAGGAAGTGTCTCATAAAACGTGGTTAAACCCATTAATTACAATAAGTTTCAAGGAAAAATTAAATAAGAAATTAATATTAGAGTCATGGTTCTCAACCTGTGGGGTTTGATTCCTTTCAGATTATGATCCTTTTATTGTGGTGGGTGCCCATTATATATGAAAACCCATATTTCTGATGGTCTTAGGAACAGAGTCACCACTTCTATCTGTCTCCAGACAGCTATACCCACATGCCAGTATGCCCATATAGAATTACCTGGAATGGTCTTAAAGGGTCACCTTAAGAAAGTTGGTAGCGCTGTATTAGAGAGAAGGAATTTGAGTTAACTAAAGCAGGTAAGATTGTGCTCAATGGTTGCAGGCTTATTTCCATGGTAGTTCTTAGTTAAGTTAAAAGTGCTCCACAGGAATAGAAGGTAGAGTCTTGGGGAGACTCAGAAGGCTCTTTTCTTCTTTGTGTTCAATGAGGAGCGACAGTGAGTTCTGCAAAAGGGAAAATGAAAAAATAGCTAAAAATCTGCCAGTGGCAGATACCATCCAACCTGGGTTGTGTCCCTGTATGGCTCTAAACACATGTTAATTCCCCATGATTCAAGCTCCAGTGACCCTCAAAACAATGCTACCTGTGGACAAACACTACAGTCCATTGTGTCCTTAACACTCTACTCTCTGGGCCTTAAAAAAATGAATTTCCGGTCCTTACGAATTTTTTACACAATACTAATATTGTTCAAATCCTAAAATATTCATAGTGAAATAAAACTCATAAATGCCTTTGCTAAGAACTTCAGCTGAATTTCATGTGAGTTGGAAGACATCATGGTCTTCATTACAGGTTACAGGCCAGTATGGGCTATGTAGTGAAACCTTGTTTCATAACAAACAGAAAAAACAAAACTGAAATTCGATATATATATATATATATATATATATATATATATATATATATATATATATATATTATTTTTTCTTTCTTTCTTTGGGGGGATTTTTGAGACAGGGTTTCTCTATGTATCTTGGAGCCTTTCCTGGAACTCACTTTGTAGCCTAGGCTAGCCTCCAACTCACAGAGATCCTTGTGCCTCTGCCTCCCAAGTGCTGGGATTAAAGGCTTGTGCTGCTACTGCTCGGCTTCAAGATGTATTACAAGAAAAGTGATGTGCTAAGCTTCTGTCTGTGACTCTTGTTGCAGTGCAGATGTTAGTACAAAAATCAGTGATTGGTTAAACTGAGATATGAATGATACCAGAGTCCCCTGACGTGCTAAACAAAGCATATGTATTATCCCCTCCAAATAAGTATGTATTACCCCTATGCTAAATGGAGCATATGTATTACCCCCTTTAAAAGCAGGATTTTGAAATCCTGGTCTAATCTTTTTTTTTGTTTTTAAGGTTTTTAAACTCTGCTTTCTCAAAATTTCATATACAGTTAGGATTACTTTGTTCAGAAACAAATTACTTAGAATCTATAGAAAACAGAAACCTAGTCAATTTTTTTTCTCTTATTTTAATGAGAGGATGCTAGCCGTGTGTCACTGTTCACGTCATGTATGGGTTTTCTGATACAATTTACTATTGCTGCTCATATGTTGATTTAGCCTCACCTTCTGATTGGTGATAACTAGATCAATCAAAGATTTTCCCTGAGGCCCTGATACATGGAGAAGGAATATCATTCCTCCTCTATAATGAGGAATATGCTTGGCAGAACCAAAAATGGTAAGGGTCAAAGGACTTGGGGAGTTGTGGCTTCTGACCTAAAGAACCCCTCTCAACACTGTGGGGACTGAGAATATCTGTCCCAAGGCTGCTGTGTGCTTTTCTCTGTTGCTGTTAAGATATCCCATGTTCCCCTCATGCAACATTGACTGGTTGGATAGCCCCATACTCTATTTCACTCTTACTATATTCCTTTGTTGACAGTGTACTATTCTCATTTTCAGGAAATTGCTCTAAAATATGCTGTACTTTTTAATAACCATGCTTGGCCTAAGGCATTGTTTGTGCAAGATCTCCTAAGCCAATCATTTCTGTCTCCTTTTTTTCTGGTCCTTGGGAGCCTGTCTGTCACTGAAGAACAATTTCCTGGTCCAGGTCAAAGGAACATTCTAGATGACATAGTGGAAAGCTGAAAAAACCAGAGCCAGAGAATGGCAAAGACTGCAGTGAAACTACTTTTGGGCCTCACTGCATTTGTGTTCACCTGTACAACTCCTGAGGAGATTAGGGCTAACAACATTTCATCAAGGCTGAAAATGGGATCCTCAGAGGTTAGGACCTTCCCTAAATATCTATTGGCACTTCATAGCAGATACTGGAGGGTCGTTACTCTTTTTTTGTTGTTCTTTTTTCGAGACAGGGTTTCTCTGTGTAGCTTTTTGCCTTTCCTGGAATTCACTTTGTAGTCCAGGCTGGCCTCAAACTCACAGAGATCCACCTGGCTCTGCCTCCCGAGTGCTGGGATTAAAGGCATGCGCCACCACCGCCCGGTGGGTGTTACTCTTTAAGAGTTAAAACCATTAATGAGTTGCCCAGGATGCAGTAAGTAACCTCTCACAGCTGCTCAGATAGGTAACTCTAGTTAATTTCAGAGGGTCCAATGTAGTATATTATTTTAAGGTATGATACTTTTATTTATGTTGCATTTGTTAAACTCTGTGAAGCTGTGTTACTGTGCCTGTATAAAACACCTGATGGTCTAATAAAGAACTGGCCAATAGCAAGACAGGAGAATGAATAGGCAGGACTGGCAGGCAGAGAGTATAAATAGAAAGAGAAATAGAAGGAAAGATCTAGCAGCCAGAGAAGGAGGACGACTCCACGGGCCAGCTACCCAGTTACACAGCAAGCCATGGAGTAAAAGTAAATTTACAGAAGAGAACTGGAAAAGCCCTTAGGCAAAAGGTAGGCTGAATAATTTAAAGTTAAGGAAAGCTGGAAAGAAACTAAGCCAAGCTAAGGCTGGATATTCATAATTAAGAATAAGCCTCCATGTGTGATTTATTTGGGATCTGGGTGGCAGGCCCCCAAAAACGAGTAAAAAACAAGCAACGGTAGTCCAACTCAAATGTTATGAATGGAGAAGACCTGATGCTTTCACCATAGAAACTGAGCAGCACTCACCATAGTTGGCATGTATCTTGTGTTTCCCACTATTTCATTCTGAAACCAATCATCTTTCTGTAATCTCCATGTGGAATACTGTTAGTCATGAACAAAATTCTTAATTAATGTTTGTGAAGATCTTCTCACTACCTGTTCAGAGTCTACACTGAATATAGTTTAGTAACTAATCTTTCAAACAAAGCAACAGAAGGGACTGAGAGGCGTCAGTGGGAATCCAATTTACTGCAGTCATGAAGCAAGTCAGTATGCAGATTTTTCTGTAATAAACAAGAAAAATATTCACATGAAATTCAACTATATTACATAATAAAGTTCTGTATGAAATGGCTAATTTCAGGACATTCTTACAATAATGCATAATCAACATGCATATGAACAGTAACATCGAATTGAATCAGAAAATACATACATGACTTGTGAACAAGGACACATGACTAGATTCTTCTCAATAAGGGAATGCAATTGGCCAGGTTTCTGTTTTCTATGGATTCTAAGCAATTTGTTTCTGAACAAAGAAATCCTAAATACATGAAATTTTGAAAAAACAGAATGCAAAAAACTTCAAAAGATTAAACCAGGATATTCAAATTAATTAAAAGTGTTGCAGTGGAAATCATTGAGAAACAATAGAAGAAATCAATGGGAAGACAATATAGATGGTTTCGTATTCTGCAGAGATACTAAGCAGTCAATATGAAAGTCCTTTTGGCATTTTGTCAGGACATGGATAAACTGACCACAAAAAGAATAGAATATGAACAAACTGTTGAAACCTTTAAAGTTAGGAGGTCTATGAGCAAAGAATTTTACTAATTTCACAGTATGTTTAATGAAACACATGAAATATATATGTAATATTGATATGAACACAGATACAAATGAAATGGGGACCTCATCATACACATGCATGGTCAAATAAATTATATTTTTTTCAGTATTTTTACATAGAAAGTCTATCATTTGTGCAGTAGGATAATCATGAGATTATTTACAGTAGAATATTTCAAAACCATTTCTATAGAAATAGAATGTAGCAAA